GCAGGGGATGAGGAAGCTGAGCCCCACTGCCCAGCACAATTTCAGCCCAGTACTGCCCAGTACAACCCATCATGGCTCAGCAGAGTCCAGTACTGCCCCAAAACTCAGCCCAGCACCACCCAGCATGGCCCAGCACAGCCTATTTCCAGCCCAGCCTATTCCCAGCCCAACCCAGCCCAACCCATTTCCAGCCTATGGCCCAGTACAGCCCACTTCCAGCCCAGCCCAGCCCAGTACAGCCCATTTCCAGCCCAGCCCAGCCCATTTTCACCCCAGTACAGCTCCTTTCCAGCTCAGCCCCAGAGCTGGGAAGCACAGAGCTGGGTCCCAGCCCAGCTCCTGCTGTTGTTCCCAGGGTCCAGGGTGCCGCAGAAGCTCCCTGGCCCCGGTGCCTCTGTGGGATCCCCTGAGGTGTCCAGCACCGTGCCAGCCCCCCCAGCTCTGGCTCTGGGGAGCAGCGCAAGGACACAGCTCAGCCCTGGTTGAGGGCTCCCAACATGAGGACCCCCATGGAGGGGGCTGGGGGTCCCCAAGTGAGGCCTGTCGAGGCTGCGGAGCCCACCCAGCGAGGGGGGGACGGGAACAGGAGGAGCAATTAAAAATGGAGCATCAGAAACTGAAAGAGTCCCCAGGACTGGAGTGTGACCCATGGCCATACTGCTTGGGGTTGCATGTGTGACGGCTTGGGGGTCTTGTGGGGACTGTGGCAGGTCTGGCAGCCCCTGCCCACGGCCCTGCCCAGGGGTGCCCATGGAGCTGGGAAGCTGCCAGCTCTGCAGCCCACACCTTGCACCCTGCCAGGCCCATCCCGGGGCAGGGGCACTCAGGACCCCGGCGTAGGCAGTGGGAGGGGCTCACCACAGGAAAGGTGCCCCCTGAGCTGCAGGGTGCTGGTGGGAGTCAGCTGGGCAGGGCAGGGGTGCCATGCCACGGCCCAGCTCAGCCCCCTGCCCAGGTGGGAGCCGTGCCAGTGCTGTCAGCAGACCCTGTGTGGGGCCACAAGACAGGGAGCTCGGCCTGGCCCCCCCCTACGTGGGGTGTCTCCATAACATCAGGGAGCCCTGATGGGACAGCCCTGCCCCAGCGCCTGGGGGGGTTTGCAGTGTTGGGCATGGAGACAGGGGATGGGGATGGGGTCAGGCTGTGAGCTCTGAATTTCCGCCCTGGGGCAGTCAAGTGCCCCCGGCACTGGGGTGACTGTTTAACCCCCCGAGACCTCCCGGCCCGGATGGACGTGGAGGAGCAGCCCGGCCCTCTGACGCGAGCAGGAGCTGTGGGCGTGCGGCTACGAGCAGGATTTGGCCGGGAGCAGCCAAAA